CTTAAATTGCCACTAATTAAAATAATTAAGTAAATGATGATATTATTAAAACCACATTTTTAAATAAATACAGCATATTTTAATTATATTGAAAGTCATTAACCTTTATTCATTATCACATTTATATCCTAATTATTTTTTCTTCATCACATTCTGATTTCTAACATTTCATCAAGTGAAAATATTTTCCTTAATCATGATTTTTGTTCAAAAATATCGTTGATGTTCTTTAAAATGAGGGCTAAATATTTTATCACATTTTTGCATTATTATTTGTTTTTCTTATTTAAAAATACAATGGGCAAACTATGTTGATTTTAGAATAAGAATGCAACAAAATAAATGTGAGACATAAATATAATAATGTATACATGTTATAAATCTTTAATGCATTTAAATTATAGTATAATTATTAAAAACTAATGATGTGAATATATTAGCCTTAAGTACAAGGTAATGACACCGACACCACAATATATTTGCTACACCGTATTTTAACAATAATAAAGTTCACTTCGTTGGTTAATTGTCGCATTTATGTCCTCAACTTTTTTCTTTTGTAGTCTTATCATTTGAGACACAAGTATGATAATTTATAAATGTGATAAATCTTTCATGCAGTTGAAATATAGTCTAACTATTAAAAACTAATGATGTGAATATATTAGCCTTGAGTAGAAGGTAGGGGTGGGCGTTGTTGGGTCGGTCCGGGTATTTCAATACCCGGAACCACCCATTATATTTCGGGTATTTTGTAAATAGATCCATTCGATTCCACGTAATTATTGGTCCCAAACCCAAACCCGAACCATCGGTTCTGGTTTGGGTTTGATTCTACTCATAACATTTTTTTGAATACACATTTAGTAAATCCAATCATGTAATTAGATAAATTATTCACAAACTATCCATCATGTCATAGATTTAGTAATTGACATTAATGGACTAATCATCCAAGACATAAACAGAGCCTTAACGAATTATAAATTACACAAAAATTTAATAAAACTAGCCTTAAAAGAGCATTAAAAACTAGTCAGAATTTAAAAGAACTTTAATAGGAGTATAGGACAACATAAGGGGCCCAAAAAAATCGAGTTTTTTGAAGTAATCATATCGATAACCAAGAAAAATTCAAATAAAGACTTGAAGATAACATAATAGGGAAGAATATGTATGTATTGCAAGAGCTACAAAAATTACTTATGGTGTCGGTGCAATATACGAAGTTATTGTAGCAAGAATAATGTTGACGAGAAGGAAACGCAAAGAGGGAACTGGGAAAGAAGGGCGACAAGGGATTCTGGTGATTAAAAGAGGAAAAATGTGTTATTATCTTTACAGATTTGGTTTTCGGTTATACCTAAATTGTTTTTGGGTAAGATATATGTATTTGGACTTAGGTTAGGTAACTAAAAGGAAAAAAATCATATGTCAGGTGAATTGTTTACATCAATTCACAAATCTGGTACAAAGTTTAAAAATTCAAAATTCAGGTTTCTGTATAATTAATTAAAAATATTTATTAATTAAATATAATAAAGTCACAGTTACACGATTAATTGCCATAGATTTAGAATTATTGGTCATAGATTTACTTATTGATCACATTTCATTGAATTAATTGGTTACAAATTATTTCGAGATTACAAATCAAAAATTTTGTAGGTCACAAATTATTTCATTGATCACAGATTAAAATTTTGTAGGTCACAGCTCACATCATTCGTCACAAATTTAAAAAATTATAGGTCACAGGTCACATATTTTCAAATTTGATGGTCACAAATTACTTTTTAATGACAAGTGATCGAATTTTAATGTCACAGTTTACGGTCACAATCACGATCACAGACATCCAATATCTAATCTTGACACCACCACCGCGTCCACCGCCACCAACACAACCACCACCAGAAATCATCACAGCCACCAGGACCACCACGACAGCCAGAAAACACCTCTAAACACACAACAATATACCATCTCCCAACATTACTAACACAACTGCACCCATAGTAACACCAATCAGAAACACCACCGCCACCACCACCACAACCACTAACAAACACTCCTATCCCATGGCGTCCCACGACAACCACCGCCACCACTTCCATGACCACAACCACAACCAACATTACAACCACATCCCCCCAAAACAACCAACAATTAGATCCTACTACCAACATCATCATCACAACCATGGCCAAGATCTGAAAATACAACCAACAAAACTCCAAAATCATTACCTACATATCAAAAAGTGAAGGAGATAACACCCAAAATCACTACCTACTGAACGTAGAAGAAGGTTAAGGTCATGAATTTGCTTCGACAACCAATCGACAATCATCACCGCTCTTTGCAGTATCTATAGCGACGCCGACGTTGCGAGCCACCATGCAACAATGCTCACAGGTTTGGAGGAGGTCGTCGCTATGACGCTGTGGTCTCCGACGGCGGCGGTTGCTCGTGTGATGGAGAGGATAGAGAGACGAGAGGGAGAGAGAGAATGAAGGATGGACTGAAATGAATTTGAATTTTAGGGTTAGGTTTATACCGAATATTTGATCAGAAAAGTTGGGCCCATGATTTATAAACTTGAAAGCCTTGGGACGATGTAATTTCCTCTAACTAAAATGGGCCAAAAGCTTTGGAATGGATATTTTCTTTGGGCTGAATTGAGCAGCCTATTTAGTGTTTAAGTTATAAATATTAAATTTTGTAATTTTTTTTATGCAATCTACTAATTACTAAAAATAAAAAATCGGTTTCATTCGGTTACCCACGTTCCAATTCAAGAACCAAGAATTGAACCAGACCCACTCGGTTTTCGATTTTCGGTTTTGATTCCTATTTATTTCTTTCAAGAACCGAATTGGAACCTTTGGTTTCGGTTCGATTTCAATTCAAGAGATTCGATTTCGATTAAAATGGCCACCCCTAGTAAAAGGTAATGATACTTACATCACAATATATTTGCTACTAGGGCTGCACATAAAAATCGCGAAATCGCAAATCGAATCAAAATCGTTGAATTGAAACATTGGTTCAAGTCCACGTGGACCTACGATTTTTCCCTTCAAACTGAACCAAACTGTTTCAAAATGGTTTGGTTTAGATTTCAATTTTTAAAAATCGCACAAAATCGAACCAAACCACTTTTAAAAAATTTAATTAAAACATTAATTTTATTAACTTATAAATTTTATAGTTTTCACTTTTTAGAAAAAAGAATATCAATTTAGCAATACAAATTACAAACAACCCATTGAAATAATCATAGAAAGTAAATTAAGTTCATTATTATTGGCTACGGTTTAACAAATTTACAACACGTTCTCACAAGATATCTAAACCAATTTAAATTATTCCCAAAGCATATGAAATGAAAAAAAAAATAATAATAAAAAGACATATGTTTTCGACAATCCAAATCATTACTCAACAAAACTACAAAAGCAAATCATGTCAAAGTTTCTGAAGCTCTAATGTAAACTTTTATTTCCCAAACATTTGTCATTTGTCTGTCATTGCTGAACGAATAGGGCAATCACATTTTGCCTGTTAGTCTGCTATTTCTTACATGAATCACCTCTTTCTCTTTTCTCTTTCGGTAAGTTTCAAATTTTTCATTCAAGCAATTTTTCCATTACTCTTCCTTTTATTTGTTTTTTCAAACTTCTTATATACTTATGAGTTGTATTTTGAATGGAAAAAATGACTATTTGTGTGCTTAGATGATTAATGAACTTGTGTGGTTTGAAAAAAATGAAGAACAGAGTTTATGGATTGTGTGAAAATGTTAAAGTTCCCTAACTATTACTATTACCTTCTACTTTCATAAAATAGTTAGAAAATGAAATTCGTCAATCTCCAATAAACCTAAACTCTATCAAACTTGGTACATCTAAAGATATTCTGTTCAATCCTTATTTAACATCTCGCTAACAAGACGAAAGAATTTTAATCAAACTATAATAACAGAATGTAATTTTACCTTTATCAACTGCTATGTGACAATTTGAAAGTCAAACAAGAAAATGTAAATAAAAATAAAGAAAGATTTATTTGTTTTATTAACATCTTTTAGTAACCAACTTTGAGAATAATTTATTCATGAATTTTATGGTAAATATGAATATATTTAACATGTAACATTATTAGCTCGTTTAAACTTAAATGTTAACTTTTTAAAAATATATTACTATAATGTCGATGGATAAATCGTGGATTAAAATCGAATTGAATCAAATCGCAAATTATGGTTTGATTCGAAAAATAAAATGGTTTGACTTGGTTTAGAAAATTTCCAAACTGAATGAAATGATTTGAGTTAAAAATATGATGCAAACCACCCAAATTGAACCGCGTTCACCCCTATTTGCTACACCATATTTTAACAATAATAAAGATCACTTCTTTTGCTTGTTGTTGCATTTATGTCCTCAACTTTTTCCTTGGTAATTTTATCATCAAACCCCCGTTAATCAACACATTGTCAATTTTCGTCTAAATATGTGTAAAGAGCATAAAAAAAACTTCAACGATTACCAAAGGCATTTGTCTGTGCCATTCAAAGTTTGCATTCCTTTCTTCTTTCCCTGTGCCAATTCCTTGTCCATTGTTCAATATAGATTCGAAATCATGTCTTACAATCTACTATCTGTCTACAATTCTTCGCTGCCTTCTCATAATTTGGATCACATCCACTCTCGTTTTCACTCATTTACATAAGTCAACTTTCAAATAAGAGAAAAAATAATAAATATATAAGCTTGACAAAAAAACTTTCTTTCATTTAAAACCATGCTAACAGAATATTTAGATAGAAGCTGGCATTAAAAATAAGATGTACTAATTAATTGAAAACAAGAAAGCAATGAAAAAGTTTCGGAACACAGGTACAACAATTAAACCACTGATAGTATCATTAAGTATAAATGCAAAGCAATACAAAGGCATGGAAAAAGCTAATCAAACAAAAGTGAAATTCATCATCATCTGTATTTGTTAGTCATGGATGGTCGGCTTTTAAGTTTACTTATAAACATGCCGGGACCATAGGTGGATAGGGCTATATTCCGAAACAAAGGAAGCTCCAATATTGTAAACAAGAAAACTGGAATGCAAGCCGATACCATCATTAGGATGAAAACCCAGTCATATGTTTCATCAACAACAATCGTAAATGCTGCACCAAATGCTGTCATCATAGAGGCTATGGCTACAAATAGTGAAGCAAAACCAAGTGCATATCTCCTAAGCATTAACTCGAGAAAATCTTTTCCTGCACATCTCGCAGTTAGGATAGATAAGAATAAAAGGAGGGAAGAAATGGAGGAAAATAGAGCCAAAGACTCTGCTACGACAAAAACCACAAATTTTTTATTCTTCAAAAGATAGGGATGCCATTATCAGTTGTGTTTCCTCCTGGTACAGTAAAAATTGCAGCAAACACAACTGTGGCTATGAGAGTAGTATCACCATGCATGAGTTTGATGTATCCTTCATCCATTGTTCGCTCATTTCGAGCAAATCTTTGTGAGTTTCTGTGAACAATTCCCTTGGTGTTTTTCCTTGTGAGTTCATTTGCCACTTATATTTATCGTTCACCATTTTTTCCACCTCCTGCATTGCATGAAATTTTAAGGATGCTAAATTTATAAATGTCGATTAGTTTGTATTGATGCCTAGAGGAAATTAATACCTTAAACCACTGTAATTCTCTCTGCATTTGAAAAGCAGGACCCATAACAGCATTGAGTTGAGGAGATGGTGCCAATTTGGCTGCCATATGCAATGTATTGTTTGAGTCATTATCTAATCCAGAAGCTAAAAATGTATTCCGTGCCGTCTCATCGATCAGAAGATTGAATAACTTCTCTCGACGATGCTTGATAGCTACTTGCAATAGAGTATGGTTACTGTATTTGTACCAAAGTAGATCTGATACATAGTTCAAAGTTGCTTCTACAATTTCGACTACTCCTCTCACCGTGGCAACATGTAGAATTCCGCCATCCAAGAAGAAGTATAGAGTTTGCTCATTATCTAATAATACAGCTTGTTTGCAAACAAATTCTATTAGTTCAAAACACTGTTTGTGTACCAGCTTTCGACCATACACATGCTTCAATCTTGGCTCTGCAAATGAGAAATTAAAAAACTGAACTTTTGAGTCATTGAAAATTAATGTAGTAATTGCAATAATTTATCATTACTTGTACAGCTTTACATAACCATCCGACTGCTGCAAGAAAACTGGCTTAGCTTAGTTAAGTTGCCAAAGCAGAACCACAAAACTATAATAAACCTGCATTTTTTCCTATAATTTACATGGAGCAATCACCATGATGCTTTTAAAGTAAAAAATAAAAGTTGAAAATTTTGATGTGGTCTAAAACAAGCACCAAGTCAATGATACAAAATATTTAATACTTATGTGATTAAGATAGGCTTTCTAGGAAGCAAGTCATTGCTTGTACTTTATACATTTTGATAATCATCTTAGAGTATATATTTTGTTGTATGTGGATGATACTTTATTGGCAGGTAGCAACTTAAAATATACAAGAAAACAAAGGTTAGTTAAAACTTGAGTTTGAAAAGAGAGATTTGGGTCTAGCCAAAAGAATTCTAGGCATGGACATAACAACAGATAGAACGTGTTCTTCACTTTTTCTATATCAGAAAAGTTCTCTCATAAAATTTTGGAAAGATTTCATGCTGGAATCAAACTCTGCCTTTTGCTGAAATTTTTTTTTTTTTTTTGGCTGAACATAAGACAGCAATAGATGCCGAGAAAATGTTAAATATACCTTACTATAGTGCTGTTAGATCTATTAGTGTATTAAGATGATATATGTCCAATCCAAGTATTGAACACTGAGAATCTTCAAAATGGCTTCTCAGATACATGAAAAGCACATTAGATTTTGGTTTAGTTAAGCATTGCAAAGATGGTATTAAACTTGAAGGGTATGTTGACAGTGAATGCAAGTGACAAAGATAAAAGAATGCGAACATCAAGTCTGATTTGCAATAGGTTGTGGCTCTTTCAACAATTGAAGTTGCGTATATATTTGCAATTAAAGTTTGAAAAATAAAAAAGCAATTTCACTCCAAGAATTGAATCTAATTGAAAAGGAAGTAAAATTGTTTTCAGATAGCCAATCTGTTCTTTATCTTGTAAAAATCATGTATATCGCGAGAGAACTAAGAATCTCCAGAGCTAAATTGAAATTAAGACTGTTAACTTTTGTTTATTATAAGCCATGGAAAAGGAGTAGCAAGCACTTACGTGAATAAATGAATCTCTCCCAAAAGCTATGTCTACTTCCACTTGGGAATGAATGAGGGTGCCCGGAAAGCACATGCAATATTGTTGTCTCTGTTTCATCTCTTGCAGTAGCCAAATGCGAATACCCGTGAAGAAGATCCAATGTAATGTCTGGGAAAAAAATAAAAAATACAAAATGATAATAATAATAATTGGAGAAACTCGAACACAATATATGCATATAAAAGCATAAAAATGCTAAAAAGATGTTGACATTCCTTTTTTCCTATGACCAGTCCGCAATTAGTTTATTGGTACCCACCCACAGATGTAATTTTTGACTTCAGAGGATATCATCAGCTTGGGGGTTTGGAACATCAAGTTTTTGGATCAAAAAATTTGAAGTTTGTGATATAGATCCAGATTAAGAATTAATCATCGAATTTGGATAAAACTTCGAATAATTCTTTCTTAATATAACATACATGTAGAAATTAATATTCTTATTCCACTTTCCAACAATTGCTACTCCATTAAATTGTCCGATGCAGTGCCAGTGATTATCCAACTAATTAGTGCAAAGAGAAGGAGAAGTAAAGCCTAGATCGAAGCTCAATCCGTGAAATTGATTTTTCTTGAAATAGTTTCAGAGGCACTAAACATAGAAACCTGCAGCTGCAATACCCAAAATTAGCGAACTTGAACAAGGACCAGTAAAGGCATAGCGCGGATGCTCATCTGTAGTCAACGTAGAAAGGTACCATAATATTTCCTTACGTGCACCCCAGTTAGCAGCAAAGAAAAACGGGGTCTTTCCATCAATGTCTGTAGCTAGAGGCAGAGCCCAGTTTTTTCTACCAATGCATTACTGTGGCAGCATCTACAGTTCCCCCCACAGCTGCATAGTGAAGTGCGGTGCAACCCCTTTTGTCTTGTGCATTGAGTGCAGCAGTCGGCATTAGGTCTGCCAGCTTCTCCACAAATTCGGACTGGGAGCTGCTGGCCGCCACATGAACTGCCGTCATTCCTTGGAGTGAGATTACCTCTGTCAATGCAGCACCATGATTGTCGATGATACTTTTAGCAGTAACCCAGTAGCCTTCTTTTGCAGCTAGATGCAAGGGTCGGTAGTAATTAAGGTTCACTTCAGGACCTTTATTTAGCACATTGCGATTTTCAAAATTAGTGAACTAAAATGTTCACTCTATTTAAAATTTTATAGTAAGTTTTATAATTCTTACCCATGAAGAATGTTGGTGCCGGCCATTTGGGAGGAGCTGCTGGCCTCTGTGCATTTAGTTGGTGACTTCCATCAACGTCTAACAAGTTATTAGTATTGTTACGTGTTGTCATACTAGGCCAATATACGTGGGCCTATGGCCCACTCAATCCAAGCCACGGTGGCACTCCAGCCGAGGTGGTATGTATGGCCGAGGCTCGTCATGCCGAGGCCCATATACTGAGGCCTTTAATGTTGCCAAACTCCATATGCCGAGGCCTGTGGATATTTTCGAAGCCCTAAAGCGGAAGTAATACATGAGTGGCAGAAGCCCCCGAACCATGAAGGAACTTCTTCCATGATCATCTCTCCCAAGAGATCTTCTACATGAAAATCTTGTTTAAATGATTGATGGAACGTTTATCATGAGTGCATATGTCAAGTCTTATCACTAGCATGGGGGTTCTGCACAAGCAATAAATACACAGCAAGCTAGCAAGTCAAGGATGATGCCTAGGATTGAATGTTTGAATTAAGGAGATGAGGCCACGTGCCACCTCATCTAAGGTCTGTCATTTCACATGTAACACTATAAATACTTTCCCTGTATAACATTGAAAGGCTAATGCAAGAATCAATACAAGAAACCACATTTTACTCTCTTATTATCTTACAACACAAACGAGTTCATACATATTTAGATATACATTTACAAACGTCGATTGGTAATTATTGTACAATCGGATTAAGAACGTCTCATCGGATTCCGAACTTTCTCATCCCACGTTGTTGAGGTACTCCCACGCCCCCAATTCGTTCGTTCTAGACCATCCACGTGTCTTAGCGTGTAGGACCTTCGCTCACGTGTGTGCCGGTGGGTCTCGCATCTGTTGGCAACACTTTTTGGGGTCAACAGATTGACACCGTCTGTGAGAAACCATACCATAACCACGAACAATCTTGTGGTGGAAGCTTATTGAAGAACATTTGGGCAACCCCTTTGAAAAAGGGATTTGTTCTTGGAAAAGAACAAGAGGAAGCCCCACAACTTAGCAAAATCTGAAGTCAGACAAATAAATGAGTTCAAACGAAGACACCCCCCAGAAGAGTAAGAGAAAATGCAAATGTACCTCATCCACCCGCTGCCCAAACAGCCCGGCAAAGACTCCACCACCACCAAAGAAGGGGTGGAATGTGGGAAACTCCTCAGGCACAGAAATGAATCGCTCCAAGCAAACAGGCCCCCGCCCAGGCACGACAACCAATGTGGGCACGAGGAGGCTGCTTTTCATCAAAGGGATGTTTCCCCACGATGAAAGGAGAGTGAGACAGAGAGGCCCAGGGAAGGACACAGGCACCGAAGAAACTGACAAATCCAGAATGAGGCCCCTATCCATGAGATAGATACCATATTTGGAGGCCCTTATGTTGGCAGTAAAAAATGAAACGCCAAAAGGAATTACGCCCGGGAGGCTAAACACCCCCTTTTGACAAGTTACATTGTGGACAGCAGCTCCTGGAGGAACCAAGTTCTACCTATTGTTTCACTCAGGAAGACGTCGAAGGAGTTCACTTTCCCCATTGCAATGCACTTGTTGTGAGGGCCGTCATAGCTCGAAATGGTCTCAAGCGAATGTTAGTTGACAACAGTAGCTCTGTCAACATTCTATTTGGATCCGCCTTTGACAAGATGATATTGGATCATCAGTTGACACCCACCACAACTCCTCTATATGGATTCACAAGAGATAGCATCACTCCAAGGGGAAAGATAACGCTTGCAGTGGAGATGGGGGAGTCTCCCCAAACTATGATGAACTTCATGGAGTTCCTCATTGTCGACAGTCGATCGGCTTACCATGGGGTATTAGGTAGGCCAACCCTAAAGGAATTGAGAGCAGTCACCTCCATCCACCACCTATACATGAAATTCCCAATGGAAAATGGGGTAGCAACGGTGAGAGGTGACCAAATAGGGTTGTGAAAGTGCTATCTAAGCTCCATCAAAAAGGTAAAGCCCCGGGACGTCCATGTAATCATAGCCGATATAGTCATGGTTGACGTCCCAAATGATGCTCCCACTGAACCAGAAGATATTGATATGATAGATGCACCACCCAATCCGGAGGTCTTGGTCAGTGAGGAGATCGATCCCCGTATAATTGAACACGAACCTCAAGCCTCCCCAGTCGAGGAACTTGAGAACTTCTTGGTGGACTCCCGAGACCCATCCAAGATGATGAGAGTGGGCAAGGGCTTATCCAACACTCTGAAGGAAAAGATTAAAGATTTCCTAAGTAAGAACCTTGATATCTTTGCTTGGAAGCATGAGGACATGGTAGGCATAGACCCCAAGGTCAGTTGCCACCACCTGAAGGTCGATCTTAAGGTTGCCCCACACAGGCAAAAAATGAGAGTCCTCAATCCTGAAAGGTATGAGGCTCTAAAGGAAGAGGTTCAGAAGCTCATCCAAAATAGCTTTATCAGGGAAGCTACCTATCCGAGATAGGTCTCCAACCCGATTTTGGTAAAGAAACACAATGGCGAGTGGAGGGTGTGCATCGATTTCACCAACCTCAACAGAGCTTGCCTGAAAGACAACTTTCCTCTCCCAAGGATTGACCAGCTAGTAGACTCCACGACTGGGCACGAGTTGTTGAGCTTCATGGACGCATACTCCAGCTACAACCAAATACCCATGCTCCCGGCCGAGGAGCACACTTCTTTCATAAGAGATCGAGGCCTCTATTGTTATAGACTGATACCCTTCGGGTTGAAAAATGCCGATGCAACTTATCAAAGGCTCGTTAACAAAATGTTTATGGACCTCATCGGTAAAACGATGGAGGTATACGTGGATGACATGCTGGTAAAAAGTTTGGAGGCTGAAGACCACATAACGCACCTTAACAGCACATTCCAGATCTTGAGAAGATATAGGATGAGGCTCAACCCCCTCAAGTGCGCCTTTGGAGTGGCTTCCGGCAAATTCTTGGGATACATGGTCAATCAATGCGAAATTGAAGCCAACCCGGAGAAGATTGAGGCCCTATACAAGATGAGGTCTCCCCAAAAGCCAAAGGAAGTGCAAAGTTTGACTGGGTTGGTGGCTGCACTTAGCCGCTTCATCTCCAAAGCTACAGACAAGTGCCTCCCATTTTTCAAAGTGCTGAAAGCTGGAACGAGGAATGTGAAGAGGCCTTCCAAGACCTGAAAAGGTACCTGGGGTAGGCCCCCCTCCTCTCCAAACTGAAGCCCGGAGAAGTCCTACAAATATACCTGGCCGTCTCAAATGAGGCCATCAGCTCGGTTCTAACTTGAGAAGAGGGAACCACCCAACTTTCGGTTTACTATACAAGTAAAGTACTCCTATCATCGAAAACCCGTTACCCCGATATGAAGAAGCTCGGTTTAGCCTTGATCACGCCTCCAAGAAACTAAGACCCTACTTCCAAGCTCACACCATCCACGTGCTGACAAACTTTCCCCTAAGGCAAGTGCGCCAAAAGCCTGATGCCTCGGGAAGATTATTGAAGTGCGCAATGGAGCTAAGTGAATTTGACCTTGTGTTCAAGGCTAGGGCAGCAATCAAGGGTCAGGCCTTGGCTAACTTTGTGGCAGAATTCACCAACTTTCCCGACGTAGATGAAATCATGGAACTCACAGAGCCCCCTACATGGAACTTATTCGTGGATGGGTCGGTTGGCGACGCCGGCTCAGGTGCTGGAGTGGTCCTCATCAGCCCTGAAGGTCACAAGCTAAACTCGACGATGAGGTTCGGGTTCAAGGCCACCAACAATGTAGCAAAATATGAGGTACTACTTGCAGGCCTCACGCTGACCAAGGAAATGTAAGTAAAGAGGCTCCTCATAAGCAGTGACTCCCAGTTGGTTGTTAGCTGAGTATATGGTAACTTCTCAGCCAAGGACAAAACAATGGCCTCCTACCTGAAAATGATGATGAACCTCATCCTATCCTTTGAAAAATTCGAACTAACCCAGATCCCCCATATCAAAAATTCTCATGCGGATGCACTCTCCAAGCTCGCTAGTAGCAAGGATTCAGAACTACTTACGGTTGCACCTATAGAGCACCTCCTCCTACCATTGACCGAGGCCCCCCAATGTCATGTGGGTCGCTGGGACCCCTACTTGGATGCAGCCAATTGTAGCATACCTTAGAGACCATGTACTTCCCACTGACAAGTGTGAGGCCTACAAGCTAAGGAGGAGGTCAGTCCACTTCCTCTTTGTTGATGATGTTCTCTATAAGAGAAGCTTCTCCTCTCCACTCTTACGGTGCGTCGGAGGAGAAGAGGCTAATTACATATTAAGAGAAGTCCATGAGGGCATGTGCGGCAATCACTCTAGAGGTCTATCTTTAGCACAAAAAATATTGAGGCGGGGTACTACTGGCCTACCCTGAAAAGGGACGCCCTCCAGTTTGTACGAAAGTGTGACAAATGCCAACGATTCTCTTCGGTATAAAGACAACCGTCACAGGATTTGACTACAGTCTCCAGCCCTTGACCTTTCTCGGAGTGGGGTATGGACCTCATAGGTCTTCTTCCTATAGGTAGAGGAGGTGCAAGCTTTGCAATTGTGGCCATCGATTACTTTACAAAATGGGTTGAAGCCGAACCGCTGGCAAAAATTACAGAGGCAAAGACTTCCAAGTTCCTATGGAAGAATATTATATGCCGGTTCGGGATTGCTTACTCGATCATCTCAGACAATGGTAGACAATTCGACAACAATAAGGTCAGAGAACTATGCGACGAACTTGGCATCAAGAAGCATTTCTCTACACCTTACCACCCACAAGCAAATGGACAAGTTGAGGCTGTCAACAAAACAATCAAACATTTCCTAAAAAGGAAGCTTGATGTGTTGAAGGGGGCCTGGGTAGATGAGCTGCCACAAGTACTTTGGGCGATTTGAACCACCACGAGGACCCCAACTGGGGAAACACCCTTCCTCATGGCATTTGGAACTGAGGCAATGAGCCCCGTCGAGGTCGAACTGCCATCTCCAAGACGTCTGCATTTTAGTGAGATGACAAATGATGAGCTTAGGAGGTTCGACCTCTATTTAGTGAGCATACATCAATTTTAATAAAAAATGCTGGGCCGTCT